AATATGGACCCAGTTAATCGAATTCTTAAACTAATAAAAAAGGTCCGGTCTTGAAATATCAATTTGTTCGGGAGTAATCGTTGGTACATCCAAAATGGGGTGACATCCGGACGTCCACGTAAAATTTTTTTCAAAACGTTTTTTTTTTCAAAATAGCAACATGAAATGATTTTAGAAAGTAAAAGATGGTTTAATTTAAGTGTTTTTCGGTGTACATCTACTTATATTATTGTATAAGTGTAATATGGTTGTGATAGAGGCATTTAAAGATCACAAAATTGCTTGACCTTGACGAGTCGAGTATATAAAGCACAACCTCACGCGCTTCGCGCTATGAGGCATGCAATACTAAATATTATATGATTGGTTGATTTGATTGAAAGTTATTGTAATTCAAACATATTACAAAAAGTGTCTTACTAAATTTGAACTAGATTTGTAAGCTCGGAGAGCTCAAAACGTAAAGCAGTTCTGTCTTGGCTTGGATAGCTCAAAATGGCTGTAAAACCATGTATTTGAGCTCCAAAATGTCGTATTTGATGAATATTTGACCGTTATGAATTAGAAATTAGCAGAAATTTGCTAGGATGGATTTTTTTTTCAGAAAAATTTCAATGCTACGTTCAAGCTTAAATATTTTATTTTCATACTGTACAACTGAATCAACGGATTTATAGAGAAAATTTTAAATCATTTCTTTGTAGCTGAAAGTTATGAGCTTGTATACTGAAAATTGTGATAATATATAACTTGCATACAAGCAAGCTGCTAACATATATTTCAGAACTCCACTACCATCTTATAGTTGTGAATCAATTCAAAAGACTATTATGAATCTTTACTAATTTAACCAACTATGACTAAATCATCTTGGAATTCATAATTTGGTACTTCCAAATTTAATGGTGCAGGTCCTTTCCTTATTCTTCCACTAGCGTCATAATGTGATCCATGACATGGACAGTAATATCCACCAAAATCTCCAGCGTTTGCGATTGGTACACATCCTAAATGTGTACATACTCCTAATACGATTAACCAATCAGATTTTTTGACACGTTCACGGTCATGCTGAGGATCACGTAAAGTTGAAAGGTCAACTGATTCTTCTTTTTCTATTTCTTTTACTCCCCTGTAAACATTTTTAATTAAAAATTAAAATAATTGTAAAACTAAAAAAATCAAATGGAAAGTTAAGAAATTTTATTTAAATAGACAGAACTGATTGACGTAGAAATTTAATATCTTTTGAAAGCTGGTAATTATAATTTAAAAAAATAGTTCTATAGTTTCACAGTCATTGAAAAAAAAAGTATTCTTGAATTTCATTTTTAAAAAACCTTTAAAATTTCCCGTTACTTCCGAGTTCAAAAATTTTTATTCATTCGTTGCATGATAAATAAATCTGAATTTTATTATTAGTCCTTTCGCCACTATAGATAGTGGTGTATGCAAAATGAGCTCCATGAGATTTTTCAACTGTTATCTACGTAATTTGATGCGAGGAATCCGATTTTGATAGTTCAAAAGTCGCCAGATGGTCCAGTTCTTTGTTATTAACAATTCAATTGTTTAAATGCAATTTATGAGAAAACTATTATCGATAGATGAAAATTGATTAAAAATTCGGATAGCTCGCATCAAAAAACGTAATTAATACCTGAATCACTTTTCACGTATTTTTATTATTTTTTGAGTTATAACGTGATTAAAAATTATTATTTTTCCAACGCAATTGATGAGTCGTTGATGCGCGCGCATCCCAGTCTCATTCAACTGCGTTGGAAAAATAATAATTTTTAATCACGTCATAACTCAAAAAATAATAAAAATACGTGAAAAGTGATTCAGGTATTACGTATTTTGATGCGAGCTATCCGAATTTTCAATCAATTTTCATCTATTGATAATAGTTTTCTCATAAATTGCATTTAAACAATTGAATTGTTAATAACAAAGAACTGGACCATCTGGCGACTTTTGAACTATCAAAATCGGATTCCTCGCATCAAATTACGTAGATAACAGTTGAAAAATCTCATGGAGCTCATTTTGCATGGACCACTATCTATAGTGGCGAAAGGGCTAATAATAAAATTCAGATTTATTTATCATGCAACGAATGAATAAAAATTTTTGAACTCGGAAGTAACGGGAAATTTTAAAGGTTTTTTAAAAATGAAATTCAAGAATACTTTTTTTTTCAATGACTGTGAAACTATAGAACTATTTTTTTAAATTATAATTACCAGCTTTCAAAAGATATTAAATTTCTACGTCAATCAGTTCTGTCTATTTAAATAAAATTTCTTAACTTTCCATTTGATTTTTTTAGTTTTACAATTATTTTAATTTTTAATTAAAAATGTTTACAGGGGAGTAAAAGAAATAGAAAAAGAAGAATCAGTTGACCTTTCAACTTTACGTGATCCTCAGCATGACCGTGAACGTGTCAAAAAATCTGATTGGTTAATCGTATTAGGAGTATGTACACATTTAGGATGTGTACCAATCGCAAACGCTGGAGATTTTGGTGGATATTACTGTCCATGTCATGGATCACATTATGACGCTAGTGGAAGAATAAGGAAAGGACCTGCACCATTAAATTTGGAAGTACCAAATTATGAATTCCAAGATGATTTAGTCATAGTTGGTTAAATTAGTAAAGATTCATAATAGTCTTTTGAATTGATTCACAACTATAAGATGGTAGTGGAGTTCTGAAATATATGTTAGCAGCTTGCTTGTATGCAAGTTATATATTATCACAATTTTCAGTATACAAGCTCATAACTTTCAGCTACAAAGAAATGATTTAAAATTTTCTCTATAAATCCGTTGATTCAGTTGTACAGTATGAAAATAAAATATTTAAGCTTGAACGTAGCATTGAAATTTTTCTGAAAAAAAAATCCATCCTAGCAAATTTCTGCTAATTTCTAATTCATAACGGTCAAATATTCATCAAATACGACATTTTGGAGCTCAAATACATGGTTTTACAGCCATTTTGAGCTATCCAAGCCAAGACAGAACTGCTTTACGTTTTGAGCTCTCCGAGCTTACAAATCTAGTTCAAATTTAGTAAGACACTTTTTGTAATATGTTTGAATTACAATAACTTTCAATCAAATCAACCAATCATATAATATTTAGTATTGCATGCCTCATA